CCTGATGTAACTGTAGTAATCTTCAAGAAAATAGGATGGTAGACAGCAATCTGTCGGTCTAAAACTTTGGGAATTTCTTGCCTAAGAAATAAATATATTCTTTAATTGATGATATCCTGAATCGTGCATCATATTTTTTAAAAAATTTTAACTTTTCTCATACATCAGAGCTGCCCCAAAGTCTGGCTCTTAGATCTCAGCTCATTCAGGCTCTTGTAATATTCTGTTACAAAATAATGTTAGTAGCTTTTTACTTCTTAAATCTGTAATGCTACCCTCCCTCCCTCAACCTTTTGTTTATAGGTCCAGGAGCAATTTTATATTGAGTTTATTGGTCTGCAAAATATTTCTGCTGCTGGCTGTTCACTGAATAATGGACCTTTTGAGCTGAAGCATTCCTGTTAACATTTTGCTTTTATTTCTGGATTCCAAGAAGAGTTAAGGCTAGGCATGGGTTCCTCTGATGCCTGCAATACATTCTAAAATAATGGAACACTGGCATTTCACTACAGGCTTCGCAAATGTTTAATGACAGAACTTAGCAATTGGCAGCTCTCGTGTCTTTTCAGAGCAAAATTTTGAAGACTATGTAAAACTAAGGAATACCATTTAATTGTGCAGGTTAATTATTTTTGTTTGGAACATAGAACTACTTCATAACCATTACTTTAATCACCTTAGGTGTAGCCATGCTGAACGGTAGAGAGATTTGGTGATGCATCTGGACACTAGTAAGGCAGTCCGAGGTGGATGCTGCTGCTGTGGGAGATGACAATAAGGCCTAATATGAAAATAAAAAGTGTGTGTACACCTTGAGAAATCTAATGTTTTATTGTGGAACTCGTCAGGAGCGGGAGAGTTTATGGGGTTTGTCATTAGTGAAGGGGAAGATACTGTGGGTATACTGTGGTGTAGTGCTGCAAAATGGAAAATAAAGCATTAGTGTATGCAAGGACTGAGTTGTAAGACTGCTGCCCCTGTGTGTTGTGTCTTCTTTCCATGCCCCCTGCCCCTCCCACAAGAAAAAAAAATGTATTTGCAAAGTATTTGGCTGTAGGGCAGGTACAGATTGCTGGTGGTGTTTTGAGTGTATCTGAATGGTAATTTTGAAGGCTTGGGTCACAGGGGGGTGGAGGTGTAGCATTATCACATGGAAGTAGTGGTTCATATAGTAAAGGCTCATGGATTAGTCCTCAGAGGTATCTTAGACTAGGGTAGCAGATAAAAATTGATAGGAAATACAATTTTTCACGTTGTTTTCCAGTACTTGCACAATTTATACACTGAGTTGATATTTCCTTCAGTTTGCTCTCAGATTCTAATGATTTGTACAAGTTGCTTTCAGAGTAAAAAACCAAAGTGCTTCTGGATCTCTGTGATCGGCTTATGTCAAATTTCAGTTTACTGAATAGCAACATAAGCCTTCCTCTCAGCACATAATTATGTAGTAAACAAATAATTGGTATAAATGCTGTTATTCATCTGAGACAAAAGAGAGCAAGAGGAGAAACGGGGTGAAACTTATTTAATCAGTCTTGTGGACTTGTATAATATGTACATCCACTGAACCAGTCATCCTAAACTTCTGTTACAGAAAATGAAACCGTGTGCTTTTAAGAAATGATTCATTTGATCTATTCACTTATCTGCTTTAGGGTGCAATTTGTTTTATCATAGACTCTTATCTCTGTTGGCTGAATCTCTGTTTATCGTGAAGGGAGACAGGAATGGTTAGCTGTCTGTGGACGAATGAGTCCCAGCAAAGATTACTTCAGCTTTTATGTCTGTTAGCCTGACAATGCAGGAAAGTTTTTTTTGCATTGATAGTATTTACGACGTCTTGTTGAAATGGGACCTTGAATCTTCATTTTCTAAAGAAAGAAGCTAATGCACATGTTAAGGTAAGATGAACTAGGCTGGTCTTGCATGTAATATATCATACAATGAAACTTTTCGGGCAGGATGAATTGCTTGAAGAACTAGGGTGTCTGAAACTTGCTGTTTTTCTAAACGTAACTACTAGAGATCTAATCATCCATCTTTTAGAGATGGTTGAATCACAGTACTGTTGTTAAGCCTCTTAATAGGATGCATGTGATATTACAAAACGGCTTCTGCAGATCTCCATTACAGAGGCTGTTGGCAGTATTTTGTGGGATAGGATATATGAGCGATGGAAGGAAGGATCTGTTCTGAATCTATTTACTGGTAAATGTCTGCATTGCATAAAATGAGTATCGGAGGCGTAGATGAATTCTGGCATAGTTAGGGAAAACTACATTTTAAAAACCATAATTAGCCACATGGATTAAACGCTGCTAATGCTTAGTAAGCTCGCCAGCTAGGAGACCCAAACTCTGGAATGCTGAAAAATGAACTTGTAAAGGACTTGAGATAATGTGAATTAAAAGACAGACAGGTAAATGCATTCTCTTAAATGTTTTTCCTCAGGCTGTAGTTTGGCTTGCTGGCGAAGTATGCCAGGTTAAGTTTTGGTTGTTGTGTGCTGCAGTTTGCAGCTCCTTCATTTGGTAAAAGTATTCAAGAGGTCACGTTGTAAACTGGATCACTGAAATGATCTGTCCTTAAAACTAACCCTGTTTTGGAGCCTAATGGAAGTAATGTGTTAAATCTGGAAGTCTTGGGTGAATCCATTTATAGTGAGCTCTAAAAGTATTTTATGTCTATATGCACTACGAGAGTTTTGCATCCGTTTCCTACTACTGAGCAATTCTTAATTTTGGTATGTCCACTTCAAACCGTGTGTGTGTGTCTAAGATCCTTGAGTTTAGCTCCAGGAGCTTTGTCTCTGAAGACTTAATTTAAAGGCACAGAATTAAAAGTTAGTTGGTCTGTTATTGTGGAGACTTTGTTAAACTTAATGAATCTGTATTAATTTTATTTCAGCTAATGGGGCTGCAACATTAGTGTAGTTCATCTTCCGTTTCTGTAAGCTTTTATCCTATTGATGACTGTCTGAGGTATTTCTCCAGACTTAAGCATAACTGATTTTTGCTGGAATTTTGTTGACAGGTTGATGTTTATGTGTATTCTGTCACTTAGAGAAATCACTTGTTGAGTTTGTGCGATGATGGTTGAGAATGTGCCAAGTGAACAAAAAAATTAGTATAAATCTTTCTTTACTGCTGAGTGTTGTAGTTACTTAAATTCAGACAAATTACACGCTGTTACATCTGGCTGGGTTTGCTCTCTCCCTTTTGAACTGCCAGAGATGGAACCTTCTTGAATTTAAGAAAGAAAAACAAGGTCAAAACTGGCTTGAGGCTTTTTTGCCTCCATCTTCCTTACTTCCAGTAAGAAACTGTTGGTTTGCCATGTGCTAAGAAAGCTGTCTGGTTTTTGAATGCAACACTTAACGGAAGAACTCTACTAACTCCACGTCTCCTCCTCAGAGAGGAAAGGTGTTTCATGATCTGGGCTAGATTTGTAAGATGTGATGGATTTGTGTGAATAGAGATGTAAATGTTGAGGTTTGATTCAAAAAAGAAATAGTCCATGAAACCTTGAGCACTGGAGTTTGTTGCTAACACCAATTGCACGGGGAATGGCTGTCTGGTTTTGACACAACTTTTTTTTTTAATTGTGTTAGTTTAGCATAAGGTATTGACTATAGGATGCATAATGAATGGGTAATACAGATTTGTAAGGAGGGTGACGGCCTGGTGTCAGATAAAAAAAGTTGTCTTTAAGTTTATGTGCTCTTTTATTTCTTTAATCTAGAAGCAGCGAAGAGTCTGATTAGGGTGCTGTGGAGACAGCCGTTCTATACAGCGTGTTTGCGTGCGTGGTGGACTTTTTTGAAATGCTTGGAATCCTCTTAGGATTGAGACTCGAGTCGCACAACCATATGGGGCACAGCTGATTAATATCTGCCCCGTTGCTTCATGCAGGTTAAGGTTAGGTGGTTTGTGTGTGTACAGGGACTGCTTTTCATTAGCCTGCATTTTGGGGGTTAGGTCAGGTGACGGAACACTATACAGCTATAACAAAGCATTACATGAAAACATGTTGGTGCTCAGTTGTAATAAAAAGAAAAACAAAAGCAAAGCACCCAACTAATTGGCCTGAGCTGTATAGAACAAACCAGAAAATGTGTGGAGTTAGGTGAGAGGAATACTAAAGCCTGTGGAATCGCCTCTGTAAGAGGAGTGAGAGACTAGGACTTGAACAGGATTGAAGTGACGCTGGAAGCAAGGAAGCTAAAGCTGTGAGTTGCTTGAGGCAAGGTAAATTGTGTATGATGGTTCTTGTTTTGGAACAGACGGTGAATGAGAAGATGCACAAATTATCAGGAGATTAAAAACAAGCAAGAGGAAGTGGTTCTTGTCACAGCACATAGTTAAGCTATTAAACTCCTTGTTGCAGGATGTTCTTAATACTAAAAATTCACATGCTTTAATAAAGCACCTACCCAGTTTCACAGGGAGGGGTGGGGTGGAATCCATCAGGCATTATTAAACGCAAAGCCGCTGCCCTCTGATGTAAAGAAGTTTTTGAATCTCTTGGACAAGAATTTCATAATTTGTTACGCTTGCCACCGTACTATGTTCACTCTAATGGGTCCTTACCGGGTAGGAGTGTGTTCGATGTGGGCATTTGGCTTAATGTAGCACGCTCTGATCTAGCTTTGTACAATCTAGAATAAGGATGGGATGGCATTACATGGGTAATTGGGAGTGGCAGGGGAAACTTTTGTTAAGGTGAGCAGTATGGGATGTGTTGGGAAGCAGTTGTGCCGACCCAATTTTGATACTGTGGCACCTTCCAGTGAGGTGCAGTGAGTTCTGGAAGAGGGTATGAAGCATGGTACTTAGTAGCAGAATGAAAGGGTACTGTAACACGAGTTTTGTAAAGCTTGATTGTTTTCTTTCAAGAAGAACAAAAAGCCCAAACTCCAATGTTTGATTGTTACACTTACCCTGTTCCTTGGCTAAGTTAGGAGATTTCAGAAGTTGGTTTATTTCATTCATGTTTTACAGGGCTGGAGGTCTCAAACTGAATTCCCACAGATTTTGTGGAAGTAGACAGCTGGATAGAGAAGAGGTTATACCATGGCTCCAGCTGAGAGAAGCAGTAAGGTGAGCTTGTTAAACACCAGAGAATCCTCCTAGGACCCCCAACCTTGTAATTGAATCCATATGAAACCGGGTTCATTAGTTTCACTGCCTGTGAAATAACTTGTTTAGCAGGGAGTGTTTTTAATCTAACGCTTACATTTCAACTTGAGAATAACTAATGTAAGGGGCTGCTTGATGCCAGCTTCCTTTTCGAAGATTTTCTTTTTGAAGTTGAGTTTTGAAAGTGTGAAAATATATTCTAAAGAGCTATGTTTTCTCTATTGTATTGAGTTGGCAATAAGCCAGCTAATTTTCATATTCCTAGCTACTTTGCACACAAAGTGGGAGAAATGGTTAGCTTTTTGATAGCTACAGGTTTTTACTTAAACATCAATCTAAGTTAAAGATGCAGGAAACGTGTGTGTGTGTGGGAAAGAATGGCAGTGAGACCCAAGACCTTCAAAACCAGGTGTGAATATGAACGTTTTATAAGTTGGATCTTGTTTACTTAAATGCCAGATTAACTGGTAAACAGGAGTTCAGCACAAATGAGCTAAACTCTTGAGTTCTCTCCCCTTCCTTCCCACTCTTCTTCCCCTTCTCCTGACTCATTCCCAGGACTGCTGAACATATGCAGCCTACATGCAAACTTTTTATCACCAGTTTTTATAACTCCAGTCAAAATATTTAACAAGACATTTTATTTAGTACTAAGAGTACATCCAACCCAAATGTTTCATTTCAGCCTGTAAAGCTTTGTTCATTTGTTGTAGCTGTGGTATTGATTGATAATGCTCGAACTAATTACAGTAACAAAATTTAAGTCATGTATGTCAGTCTGAGCCTCGCTAAACAGGAAGCTGTTAAAAGGGAGAAGGTAAAAGTCCCAAGTCATGCTGTCACAACTTTGTATTAGAGCTGTTACAGGCTGCAGCATGAAAGAATACATATGCCAAAAATGGGATAAATCAAGCATGTTCTTCTTGTCAATATTCTGTGCTGCCCAGCTGATTTCTAGTGTAGCTGGAGAAGTTAGATTTCAGCTTTGCCAATTTTAAGTCCTTCTAACACTGACTTCATGTGTTGCTTTCAAGGTTTCTTACTCAAGAACATGAATGCCACTGATTTTCAGAGAAATTTTCATTATTGCACTGTTGAAATTCACTTTCTTCAAGCATACCGATAATGTCATTTCAGAAATCTGTTGGTTACTGCCACATGGCTTATCAAACCCTTTGCAAAAAACCCTGAGGAATTTCATAAGTAATCTGTAATAATGTGCTAGTGTGACTTTAGGACAATTACAGGATAATTATTTTGCTTGTTTTTATACAAATATGTAATCTCTTGTCTCTTTATTTTTAGGTGTGCTTGGCAGTGACGATGGACTATCTATTTGCATCGGATACTCTCATATGAAAAGATCACGTTTCCAAAGAGCTTAAATATCATTTCATCTTCTGAAACAGAATGGCAGGCTTCAAACGAGGATATGATGGAAAAATTGCGGGATTGTATGACTTGGATAAAACTTTGGGCAGAGGTCATTTTGCTGTGGTCAAACTTGCTCGGCATGTCTTCACAGGTGAAAAAGTAGCAGTAAAAGTAATTGACAAGACCAAATTGGACACTCTAGCCACTGGACATCTTTTCCAAGAAGTTAGATGCATGAAACTAGTGCAGCATCCTAATATAGTACGGCTGTATGAAGTGATTGACACCCAGACTAAGCTTTATCTTATCTTAGAGCTAGGTGATGGAGGGGATATGTTTGATTACATCATGAAACATGAAGAAGGTCTGAACGAGGACCTGGCAAAAAAATACTTTGCTCAGATAGTTCATGCTATATCCTACTGCCATAAACTGCACGTAGTTCATCGAGACTTGAAACCAGAGAATGTTGTCTTCTTTGAAAAACAAGGACTTGTGAAATTGACTGATTTTGGCTTCAGCAACAAATTTCAGCCTGGAAAGAAACTCACCACAAGCTGTGGATCTCTTGCATATTCTGCTCCTGAAATTTTACTTGGGGATGAATATGATGCACCAGCAGTGGGTATGTCCTCTTTGAATTCTGCCAGTATTCTGAACTTAAGTAGCACGATGTTGTACCGCTCTGTGTTCTGTTTTAAGATAATGCTGTATGTGGCAGCCAGCTAATTGGCAAGGAATAGTATTACAGCCTGGTTGAGTTATGGATGAGTTGATGGTGGAGCAGCTCTGCATGACGGAGATACTCAAACACTCTCAAAAATGTTCTTCTTGTATGAAATGATGCAGTTGTATACATCGTGATTAATTTTTCTAGTTGTCAGTGTAAACACAGGATGTATGTTTGTACTTGCTTTGTTAGAGGACCTATACTCTTTTCATCAAAGTGCCTGGTTTTAGTTTTTTTTGAACACACCTTCCTATCCCCTGCAAAAAACTCCAACCACGCAGTGATTTTCTTTACTCAGTTTAGCCCCATAAGAATGACATTCTGAGCCCAGGCTGCTTCCATGTTCTGCTGCAAAGTGGTAGGAACGGAGACGGGAAATTAGGGAAGGTTTTAACTCCCCCTTCCCCTTCTCTGCCTTTGAGAACTGAAAGCAGGGAGGGAATTCTGAGTTGCTCCCAATTTTTTAAAAGGTAAAAGAAATAGTAATGTGTAAATTAGCCTTCATGTTTCTAGCTGGAGGGTGGCATGTGCTACACAGACTACTACAGGTAATTCTGTTAGGACTACTGCATCTGCTATTTGGAGTAACATAGCAGGTTTTAAAATTGGTGTAAATGCTGATAGAGTCACTGAATAATGTCCTGTAGTCATGCAGATTGCTTATATCTGCTAGTTGAGGTAAAACTCACTACTTCCTCAACAAATTTAGGTAGGTACAATTCCAAATGATGCTTCAAAAGTAGGTTATCGTAGTCCGCCTGCCCCTTGTTTTTGTGTGCCCAGTATCTGATGATTTACTGTCCTAGTCACACCCATCAGGACTCTACCTGGTGCTGTGTGTTTTGCTGCGGTTATAGTGGTGGCTGCAGAGATGTGGTTTAAACTGCCTAACGTCCAGTTTTTTTCTAATTTACCCAAGGTAAACAATGGGCTGACTTTATATGCTGACAAGGTATTCCTGCCCACTGTTGAACTAAAATTCTTGCCTTGTTTTTAATATTTATATTTTTAGCTGGTAGATCCTCTGGTGTTGCTTAAACATTTGAATGTTGCTTCATGGCCTCTAACTTTGAATAGGTATTTTACCGTGGGTTTTCTGGACTTGGAAGTACTTTCTCAAGTGTGCTATAACTAGGAATTTTAGATGTCTATGCTAATTGTGGTTTTGCAAATCCATGTTGATGCTACAGTGATGCTTGACCATATTATCTCTAAATAGAGTAAAATGTTTTTGATAAGATGGTTCTGGCTTTTTTAGGGGCAAACTAGAGATCTGAACTCCTGAGTTCTTCCGTGTTCTAGGTATTTTTATTATGAGAATTTCCTGAAGTGTATGTGAATTTCCTGCAGTGGCCTACAAAACTAGGTGGAAAAGTGCATTTGTTAAATATTCTATATGGTGCCTTATGTGAATTGCTTGAAAAACTGAGTAGCAGTCAAATTTTGGGGTATGAGTAAAGAAAAATGAAGTTCTGACATTGCTGCCCAACTGAAGATGTTTGAAAGAAAGGTGGTGTGTGGGGATTAATAGGGAGGGGCAGGGAGTGTTAGGAACATGGTGACCAGATGATCCAAATAGAATTGTACAGTTAAAGCGTGCTTTTGGACCTCAGTGATATGAATGGTGGTGTCACATAAAATGTTTTTGTAAGCAATTGGGTAAGTAAGGTTCTGATTAGTACTAGACGAAAAAAATTAGATGGCTTCTTAGAGGAGGAGGTCTGGCTAATAGAGAGTGCATTGATGTGAACAGCAGGAAAAAAAAAGAAAAAATAATTCCTTTTAGCTGATGCTTAAGGTTGCTAGTTAAGTTTTATTTCTGAGAATATTTAAATACACCTCAGTGCTTAGTTTTTGCTTATGGTTTCCCCAATATACTGTCTCAGTTACTGGACACTGGAACTTCTATCCTAGTTGACAGATTGCAGTGCTTGTATCCTAACTTTGAGGGGGCACAGTTTTCGTCACTTTCTAATGCACTGCAAGATCTCTAAAGTGCTACCATTCCAATAGTTATGGAATAAAAATATCAAAATACATTAGGAGTTGCCAGTAAAATAATGACCTTGAAGAGTCTAGATTGTCCTTTTCTAACTGTGGGTAAAAATGCAAGGTATGTTATGTATCTAAATATAACTTGTGTATTTTAAATGCAAGGGGGGGGGGGGGTGGGGGGG